CCGTGAAGTGTATTGTTTCCCAGATAAATTCATGTACAACCCTGTTTCTTAAAATAAGTATTCTTACTGAAGTAATTACCCGTGAAGTGTATTGTTTCCCAGATAAATTCATGTACACCCCTGTTTCTTAAAATAAGTATTCTTACTGAAGTAATTACCCGTGAAGTGTATTGTTTCCCAGATAAATTCATGCACACCCTGTTTCTTAAAATAAGTATTCTTTTAATAATCCTCATCTCGGAATACCTTAACATTACAAATACTTTATTTAGTAACGAAATAAATCCATGCACAAATTGTTGGTATTAGCATAAAGTACATTACTCTGCTGTGGGGTTCAAAGGCCTCTAATTATTCATAGATGTACCAATGCACCGATCAAGTTCCTACATTATCTCCAATTACTTCTATAGCTCTCCTAAGGGACCCTACAGTAGTACAGCAGTAAGTCTGAAGGCTTATAACGTTAAAAACCGGGTTTCGATACCAGTGGTGGACACAGCATAGATAGGCCCATGTGTTGCTTTGCATTTAACTACAAATAAAAAACTCTCCCAAGAGATGCCAGGTTCGGGCTTAGCGACCTTGAACACCTATTCCTAGACCCTTATCATGGCTGGCTGACCTTCCGGCCGCGTTTTAGTACCCTTTGGTAGGAGGTAATAACATATAGATAAGGACACTCCAGGACCACCCTGAATTCGCATGCCAAGTTTTGTCCTGCTAGCTCCAAAATTCTAGGAAGAGTTTGGGAACAAATTAATTCACTCACAAAACATGAATTAATACAGGATAGATACCCCAAGGGAGAACTGTACCCGACCACAAACTTCATTAGGACATCCGCCCGTAATGTTTGAGCACGTGAATTACATTGGTTATACGAGCTTGCGAGTGAAGGTATGGACACCGTTTAAAACATGGCGTTCCGGGACCCTGAGGGAGGCCAGAAACACAAAATCTACTCATAGCGGCGTTCCTAATTTTGAAACGATAAACTAGATGGAAGGAAAGTAGTCAACAGTACCACCCCAAATCTTGGACTACTATTATTTAATCAAACAGTGGGACTTGACCATCGCTTTCATGGCACATCAACGGCATCAAAGTTCGGAGCGCTTTTCTGTAAAAGTTGGACATGAAGCATGAGCCGTCGCATTTATAGTCCGAGCACTCTAACCACTAGACCACGCCAAACCTTAAACATCAAATTATATTAAGCTAAAATAACACTCTTAAATTCTTATTCCTAAAACTCCAAGACTGTCTGTTTTAGAATGTTTGTTTAAATCGGATATTCGCGTAAAGCTTCACAAGATCTATCTGCAGTAATTGAGCTGATAGACTAAAGGAAAGCAAATAATTAACAGCATTCAGCGAATAGTGAGGTTTGAATACCACTCTTATAACTTATCAACGGTTCCAAACTGCAGAGCGTGACTTTGCAGAAACAAAACGTAAACCATGGATCCTTGGGATCACGGTCCGGCACGCTAACTATTAGGACACGCCTGCCCATTTCCAAATTGAATAGCGTTCTTGCAACTGACTGTTAATTGGCTGTGTTTGAAAATTCTGAAATATCTCGTACACGCTGTGAAACTCTACAATTTAAAGAACTGATCGTATGGTATTTTCTGTACAGTTTTCTAAATATTCTATCGAGTATACGTAGATAAAATCGAATACATCTATTACCAGATGACTCGAAAAATGATACAGATACGTTACTACATTCATAATAAGGTGAGGAAAGCTCTTTTACAAATGCTTCTAACACATTTCTCAAACCGTTTAACTAAAATCACATGTGCAAACATACATACGTATAGTTAAAAGAATCAGAACAGGAGCAGTATTTATGAATCAACATTCAGTAATTCTATATTATGTAGTTTCGATGGAAAATATTCATAGAAAATGGATATATGCATATCCTGAACTTACTGTCGTAAAAGAAAAAATATAAAGTTAATTTACTTGTGACTATGAAAGTATGGATTAAATACCAAAATCTTTTAAAATATATTTAAATGATTCATCAGCATAAATATAAGCTTTTACAATGAATTTATCCTAATTGAATATTTTGAATTTGAGATTTTACGCTTCTTACAAGTGTGTGTGTGATTTAAATATATATATATGACACTTCGACACTGTGAAAAACTACGATTAAAATAACTACCTTAGAAACCGCTAGGGTAGCTTCTGTTTCACACTGAATCACGTTTTCATAATCTTTAATTTTATTTGAACTTTATAGATATTAATACAACAGAACAATAGATATTAAGATATTGAAAAACAGTATCATAACCTCGTAGAAATAAGGAATAAGTGAATATTTTTGAGCTACACCGTACCCTACAATTGTAAGTTCTTTTGTGAAACTTCTTTATCAAAGAACTGAAAAGAAGAATGTTAGGCTTAATTCACCACCGTAGGTATGACTTAGACTGCTGTTAACGAAAGAATGTCCTGAACAAATACGCACAGCGGGTACACAGTCCAATGGCCATCATTTTTGTATAAGACGTTAGACAGCTGGGTGCTCAGTTTTAGTTTGTTGAGTTCTGGTGGGGTTTTATGGAAGAAAGGGGGTATTATCAGTTGAAAGAAGGTTAGAAAAATGTTTTGGTATCGTGCAAGCACGCAGTTATGCTTGTGGCGAGCTGCCAATTTCAGTTTACAGCTGTTCATGCAGAACCCAGTTATAACCTTTGAATCATCCTTTCATCAAAGATTTCATGCAACCCTAAGCCACTTAAAGTACGTGACAACGTTAGAGTATAAAAGAACAAAAGGGTATATTTTATTCACTGCCAAGAAATCCATAAAATTCTGATATATACAGAATATGATAATTTCGTGGCGTTCTAAAAGACAGTGCAAAAACAAGAAATAAAATTTCAGGTAAAAAAAAAGAACACAGTTATACAGATGATGAATAAAAGAAAACTCGCAACTTTTGTCAATGATTAACAATTTCTAAAATAATTAGCATAGGTTTATTTGCTGTTAATCACAGTGCGCTATCTATGCTGTTATCGTTGCTGGTATCGAAACCTGATTTTTAGGGTGACTTGCCACTGAGCCACCGAGAGCAATTAGCAGCTCGTTTGATGAAACATTAATATTTAAAAATTAAAGTTTTCTACTAAATTAGTATAAAGCCTTAATGTACTAAACTTTTTTATGTACAGGGTGTTCCAAAAGTCTGGACCCATAGGGGAAATATATTCTTAAAGTTAAACAAACACATTTCTTATGTCACTTGTGCATATTTCAGGAATGAAAATGGCTTTATGGCACAGTGCACCAAGAATTGATATTTGTATGGCTGTTAATGGCACACAATTTGAATAATAAATAAACTAAGAATAGATTGTGTATTTTTCCCTGTAGATCCAGACTTCTGGGACACCATGTGTAATGCAGCCACTTGTGATACGTGTTACACTGACAGACATTTTACAGCAACCCTGAAAAAACCATTCGCGAAATAAAATAAATATTATAAATGTGAAACAGTTTTAGAGGGTTTAATCCCATGGCGATTGTCTAACATTGTACCCCATAAAATCATCGTAATTAATGCCAAAAACGTGAAAGTTTCTTGGATAAAGATATGCAATGTGGATGGACAATTAGAAAGACTCGGCAAACATCAACAGCAAAAAAAAAGAGGTATCGAAGAGATGAAAGGTATTATTTTTGTTAAGGCCATGGAAAGGTTTACTGTATGAAATATTTATTCATGTGCTGCATAACTTATGAGAACATTATTACAAGTATGCACGAGTTAGAATAATTATTAATATATATTTATCAGTTTCGAAGCATTTTCATTTATCTTTATCGATTACTTCTATACTTAGGTTAAGACCATGACGTTGTTATTCCATAAATGTTTTAACTATGATTTCTTATGGTTATTTATAGCAGTAAAGTGTGTTGTAAAAACTCTGAAAATCTCAGGGAACATTTCCTAGAAGGTTGTGCAGTATCTTTGTAATCCTAGAAAAATGTTTAAAAAAACAGAACAAAGCTGGAAAAGTTTTGAAATTACTGAGCCTTCCCAAAAGTATTTTCCATATTGAGCTAAGTTAGGTTCACTATTCAGCCAGATGTCGACATCTGGCTGAATACTGAACCTAACTTAACGTAACCTGATTTACGTTCGTGTTCGAGATGGTTAATATTTTGAGAATGAAGTGAACTTGAAATAGTTAACAAAAAATTAGTAATTGGATAAAGAGAATAATTTTAGTACTTTAAACGTCTGAAATACATTGCAAATTTGCCGGTAAACATCTTAAGAGTTGACAAAGACAGTACATTATTGTACACTTTTAGTTTCTTAAATGGTTTTTGTTCGATGTCTCATTTTTGAAACCAAAGCGTTACTTGACACAGAAAAATGTTTTGCTCCCTTTTGCATGGAGTAATTCTACCTGCATTTTGTCTGTGTTTAAAACTTTTCACATATTATCTTTTATAATTCGAGGTCAAATAATAGCATGAAACATATGCATAATAATTATACAGACAAAAGATATAAACAGAAAAATAATTCAGTTTCGTGCAATATGTTTTTCTATTCTATTCTTTTCGTACTTTCATAGAGTTTAATGTATATCAGGTTTTTATTATTGCTCTGTCTTTCTCTCTATATGAATACTGTACCATTAATCCAACAATTTTAATTCATTTTAGACTGGAAAAGTGTGTCACCCGCAGCGAGTTAACCCCGAATTTTAACATAATAGTTTCTCAATCTTATCGCTGGATTCCCAGGCAGTGGACTTCGAAAATTTTGTTTGTTTTAAAATATTTGCTCAAAGTTACCCAAAGAGCTAGCTATTTAACTGTCCCTAATTTTGGACTGATATATTAGAAATAAAGCAATTAATCAACAGCATTTATTCCCAATTTTTGGATTACTCTTGACTGACTGAATAGTGGGATTTGGTCGTCACCTTTGTAACGCAGCCATGAATCCGAAAGAGCGGATCGCGGTCTTTTGTAGCAACGGGACGCGGATCATAAGCCATCGGATTGACAATCTGGGCAAGCTAACCACTGGTCCATCTCCGGATCCCCCTTAGAAAAGAATTATACCTAATTTTCTAGAATCTACAAAACTAAGGTTAACACAGACATAGCATAAATGTCTGTTTCAATATATATACA